CGAGATCACCACCACTAGCGTTGACAGATGCTAAGTATGAGGGCCGAGGTGAACCTGGCCGAGGTCCGACCTACCGGGAAGCTCGGTGGGGGCCGATATGAACTACTGTCAGCGGCGTGATTATCGGGTGTAACCGTCGGTCCCGAGATTACCGGGTGTAACCGACGGCCCCGAGATTACCGGGTGAAACCGTCGCGAGAGTAGCGGGACTACCACCCATAAGTAGAGGGTCTCACTCCACGATCAGGTAGGATGATTTCTGACCTCGAACTAAATTGGGAATCCGACCTATACTGACTTGATCGTCGGAGTGCTCACCTTTTTGTGCAGGTCCGCCCAAGTATTCAGATCGGTCCGGAGGCCGAGTTCGAGCTGCAACCAGAAGTACACTGTTGTGCATATCCTTGCATAAACATTTGATATATATTAAATATTTGATTTATATAGCATTTTTTCTTAGGTAAAAATTTAAGTCCTATTTCCTTCCTATAATTCCTAACAAATCAAAATGAAAATCAAGAAGGGAAAGATGCACGTGAAATTTATTATTCTATTACTTTTATTTTGAGGGTAATTTTGTCATTTAAATACAAATGTCAGAACTTGCAGTCTCAAAATAAATGGTAATCATCTTCCTCTTTCCTGTTGCAAATTAAAGGAAAAAGAAAAAAGTTAGGAACATCAACTTAAAATCACAAAAGTCATAAACTAAACACAAATTTCTATAACTCGTTATGCAATGGAAACCGAAAGTCGAGGTACAGGTGAAGATCGGAAGGAAGCCACTGGGCTGCGATGGGCTCGGTCCCGACCCGTGGCACGGCCCACGGCCCTCCAGCGGCCCTTCGTCTTCAATCCACGGTTTCGCTCAGGCCCGCCAACGAAATTAGGGTTAGCTACCTATGAAATGTTCTGGAACAACCTGGCGACTATAAGTAGCGATCCAGCCTTAGAGGTAAGGACATCTAAAACTAGCTACATTTCACATTATCCTCCTGATAACTTAAGCATCGGAGCCCGTGTGACTAGAGTCGCACCGGTTTAGCTCATCTGGTTTTGCAGGTACTAGTCCCGGATCAACAAGTTTGGTAGGTGCGAGGAGGAGAACCGGATGACCGAAATCCACGCATCAACATAACTCATCAATTTTCATGGTCTAAAAATAAATCATACGACTTTTAAACTTTACATCAGTAAAACATAAGACATATTAAAATGTCATCCCTTAAATTAAACTGTAGGCATGCGATTCCCTACCTGGCTTTTAGTTTCTTAACATAGTCATGTTAAAATGTAATTTGGCATTGCCATTTTTTAAAATAACTTATAAAATATTGCTATTTTAAATAAAAGTGACTTTGACAATAATAAAAATAGTTTTAGTTATGTCGAAATCATTTTCAAATATAAAATAAGGTTTAATCATGATATACAAGTAATTTTAGATACCAATAAATGTGAGGCTTCCAAACATATATTTTGACTATAACAACAAAGCTCAGAGCGTTGCTTTCTATTTTTGATGATCAATTTGTATCATGATTTTTTTTTTTAAGTTTTGCCCAGAATCATAAATTTCGGGCCAATAATAAACCGCGTCATTATCTATTTTATTTAGAGATTAATTATATATTAATCCTAAATTAAAATGAAAGATAAATTGACATTTAAAATATGTAATTGGGTCATGTGACAATTGAGTTTGGAATTAATTTGATTCACTGGCCCAAAACCCAAGACCAGGTGATTAATATTTAAATTTAAATAAATTTAAATTCACTTATAAATAGTTGGGCTAAGTCCAAAATTACCCAAGCCCAAAAGTCCACTAAACCCGTAGAAACCTCTATAAATAGAAGGGGTCTCATTCATTTTGAAGGTTAACATTTTCAGAATTGAGATAATTCACACCAAACTAAAAACTCGACTTGAAGATTTAAAGACCAACTTGAAGACTTTCGATCCAAATTCAAGAACAAGCATCTGAAATATAATGAGAAAATTGACACGTGCGGTGGGACTATTTCTACCTCTCATCTCTTCCTCAAGACTCAAACTTCTCTCAAGTAAAAGAAAGAAGAAACAATAATAACATCTAGGAAAATTTATCCAAAAAGTACTTATACTTCAAGCAATACCTCCCGCACAGGACCGACTAACATTTCAAAAAGTTTCTAATCTTTAAAACGTTTTACGGAACAGTATTTCAATTATAAAGAAAACTAATTTACAATGAAACTTTATGGGGTTGTTGGAGATAGAGAGAGTGCAACTTTGAGTATCGTCTCAAATCAATGTCATTCTTGGCGTGTTTGTATATCTATGCATCTTAGAATTGACAACAAGTATTTATATATCATTAGAAAGTGTAAAATTTATTTGGATTTTGGTTAAATATATGCTTGGTTTTTTTTTATTTAAAAATTTTCAATTTAGTTATTTACATTTAATAGTTTTGAACTATACATGTCGTATCAATAGATATAAAATATGGATAATGCTGGAATTAAAAGTTGAAATTTCATTTAGCGAGGATGAATATAAAATTCTCTTTTTAGTGACCTCAATCCTCTTCGACATTTCTGTCACCTTGATAGGTACTGCATTTAACATATACTAATGAAAAACAGTACAATTTGAAAGATGTTAAATCGTAGGAGGACTAAATTAAAAAAAAAAAAAAAAAACCCAAAGAAGGGGACAAAAACTATATGTTTTGCCTTCATTTATTAATATTTCGTATTATAAAGCCATATTTGTAGTTATGAGTTATAATAGTGTCCAAACTTTATATATTTCAATTTTGGCCGTTTTAACTTTTAAAACTTCAATTTCACTCCTCAAAACATGATAATCTTGAAAAATAAACCGAATTAATATTAAATAAAAATATTCAATGACTTGGAATTATATAATAATGAATGAAAATTGAAGAACTAGGATTAAACTTTTAAAAATTGAAGGACTAAAATATACAATATACGAGAGTAATTGAAAATATTACCTACTCCCTTATACCACATCTAAAAATTTAAACCATACAATAATTTTAATAGCTCTGAAACCACCATGAGTGCCAAAAAGTCATGTATCAGTTTAAATAAAGTGTTTGTAGGGCAAGCGTGGCTGGCCCAAAGATTTTAATGAAGGAAAAAAGAAAAAAAAAAAAACCAATACTAATAGGGCATAGTAAAATAATTACATATAATTAGAGAGTAGAGGATGGAAAACGACCTCTCAGCAGCAACAAAGCGAGCCACGTCTGCCGGCCCTCCGCCATCCGCCATGCGCTGTGGTCCAAACCCTTTAAATGAAACCAACAAGGAAGAAACCACACCTCCATCTTTACTATTATGATGTCCGAGTGGGGAACATGAATGAATCATAGAAGGGATTTGATATCATGTAAAAATGGTTAAGAAAAGTTGAATTGATAATCACTGCCTGTATTTGTGTACCTTCATTTTCGGTAGGAATTCCAAAGTTAAACTTGACTTAGAGCAATTCTAGGTTGGATGACCTACTAGTTGCTTAAACACGTGGGTGGAGACAATACTTATAACTAAAGATGGTGGCACGATCAAGTCGCAGGAAAATGTTAGGGGCTATTAAGACCAAATCTGAATTCCGAATCTTGAACTTGGACGGGGCGTTACATTTGGCTGTCAGTCCGCCGTGGGCTTCGGATAATGTAGGCGGCAGCCGCGCCCTGCCTCTGCCTCTGCTGCGTGTTTACTCGACCACAAAGCAGAATTAGTCCACAGTTGAAATCCAAGCCCTATTTCTCTCTCATAATTAAAACCTAACACCTTCTGAATCTCTGCAGGATTATTCTTGATTTCGGCAGCATCCAGATCCAGATCCAGGGCTTCGGCTTCGGCTTCGGCTCCAAATCGAAATTATCGCCCCTTCCTGGTAAGTAAAGTAAGACACTGTCGTCGATAAATTCAATTCAATTAAATACAAATCCCTCCCACTGCATGCATTTAATTTGTTTTATCTCTGCGATGATGAAACGTAATCACACAGTACAGTACACACTACTACAGACATGGAAAGATGGAATGTCGTTTTCCTTTCTCTCTCTGATTTTTTTTTAATTTTTTTAATTTTTGTGGAATGGAAAGCAGAGAAAACAAAACAAAACCGTGTCCTCTTTTCGAGCAGCGCGGTTCGCCAAGCCCTTGCCCGATCGCCATGCCCATGCCTCTCCTCTACCCTACGCTCTTACCTTTTGCTTTTTGCTTTTTACATATTCGTCTCCCTTTTTCGATAAATTAATTTCCAAATCTTCTTCATAACCACCTTTTTTTTTCTTCTTTCGTCTCATGCATCACGAGTCCGAATTATCATGAAAATTAATTATTGGGAATCGGGAATTTCGGATTTGTTTCGAGAACAGAACAATTTTAATTATATATTCATCTAGTTCTTTCGTTTTCTTTTGGTTAAAAAAATACTCCGTCCCAAATCAGTTTTAAAACAAATCATAACTTCAATGTACGTTCTTCATTATTTTTACATCAATTTATATTAAAAAAAATCTTATTTAATTATATTTTCGCAAACTTATCTAATTTCAAGAGAACAAAAAATACATGTATGAGAAGAAATGTTTTGATAATGAATTAGTTTTTGAGTTGAAAAGAAAGGCTAAAAGTGGTTGTTGTAGTAGTGAGAGAATCAGACCTCAAATCAACTGCAATTTGCAGCTCTCCTAATTAAAGAGCAAGCAATGATCCTCCTCACTGTGAGCCCCAAATCCCCCTTTGTCTTTTTCCTCTTCTCTTCAAAATCTCATCCCAAAAAATTTAAAAACCAAACTTTTATTATTTTTTGTATTCCTGTTTATCCCTGCATGCATATTATGATACACATGCAACTTTCTCTTTCTTCTGCATGGAAAATGGTCCCCTTCTAAAAGCCCCATTTAGTTCCCCCCAGTCCTATCCCCTAACCCTAAATCTAGGCCCTCTTAGCCACCACCCCCTAAAGACTAAACCCATAATTCCCACAACTACTTCACCCTTTTAGCCATCCTATGCTACTACAGTAATAAATTTTGTTAACACAATAATTATTCTAAATAATTTCTCACCACTCGCAAATGCATGCACAAACACAAGCAGCCCCGCCCCATATTTCGCTTTCACTTGGGGGCTGCCTTGGGCCTTGGCTAGCCTTTCAGTAGTTTTATGGCGCTCTGATCTTTATTATTGTTATTACTATTATTGCTTTTTGGCCCTTTTTGAGAATTGTGCTTGCCTTTGGCTATATCCCTTTGCCCCCCATTTTCTTTCCCCAACTCTCTCCTCCGTAAACTCAACCACCACCACTCTCTTCCTTTGCATCTCTTACATTCTTATAAAATCTCTCTGGTTTTCTCTGTTTCTTTGATCGTTGCCTTATCTAGCTTCCTTTAGGCTTTATGTGATTTCTCTACAGTTTTTTTTTTCATATTTTCTTGTGACCCCATGCATGTACGTTGTCTACTTCAAAACCACACCATTTCCGCTGTCTGTTCCATTGCTTTTTCCCCCCATGTCACCAAAGGCTTCTAAATCCAACACAGAGGAAACCAGTTTTCTCAGCCATAGCTGCTTCTGAGTTTCTTACTTCTTCCTCTCCTTGTTCTGTATGTGACTCTGTTTTAATTTGGTTCTGTTATGGCAATGAAGATTCTGTTTGGTGTCTTCTTCCTCTGCCTTGGAAGTTGGAGCTATGCACAAGAAGGTGGGGAAGCCCCAATGGAGAAAACAGAGCTTGATGCTCTGTACTCTGCAATACAGGGGTTTGTGGGTAATTGGTGGAATGGCTCAGATCTCTACCCAGATCCTTGTGGATGGACTCCAATACAGGTAACTCTTCTTCTTTTCCCCTCCATTTTTTTGTATTGTTGTTGTTTTTTTCTAATATTTTCCAAATGAGGAATCAGCTTAGAAAACGGAAAAAATGGAATGATTTTTGAGGTTACTTTCAGGGGGTTTCCTGTGATATCTTTGATGGGCTCTGGTATGTTACTGCTCTAAACCTTGGACCAACTCACGAAAACTCCCTTGCTTGTGCTCCAAATGCTGAGTTCAGACAGCAATTGTTTGAACTCAAACGCCTTAAAACGCTGTCCTTCTTCAACTGCTTTGTCTCGAACAGAAGGAGCTCTGTTTCGCTTCCAACCGGAGAATGGCCAAAACTTGCCGGAAGTTTGGAATCTCTGGAATTCAGATCAAACAACGGTCTAACTGGGAACATTCCGGCCAGCTTGGGGAATCTAACGAAGCTGCAATCTTTGGTTCTATTACAGAACGGATTGGTGGGTGAAATCCCAGAAAATTTTGGCAATTTGATCAAATTGAAGCGGCTGGTTCTTGCCGGAAACTCTCTCACTGGTCCAATTGCTCAAAGTCTTGGCATGCTGAGCGAGTTACTGATTCTGGATTTGAGTAGGAATTTGCTGACGGGTCCTCTGCCGACGAGTTTGGGAAATTTGACTTCCCTCCTGAAACTTGATCTGAGTGATAACAAATTGGGTGGAAACTTGCCGAGTGAGATCGGCGATATGCGAAATTTAACTCTTCTGGATCTCAGCAACAACAGTTTTTCCGGCGGATTGGGACAATCGTTCGAGAATATGAATTCACTGGAAGAGATTATCTTATCCAACAACCCAATTGGAGGAGAACTCAAGAGCATAAACTGGAAAAGCATAAGAAATTTGGTGATTTTGGATCTTTCCGACATGGGTTTGACAGGGGAAATCCCCGATTCACTGTCCGAATTGAAAAAACTAAGGTTTCTGGGTCTCGACCGCAACAATCTTACCGGAAACCCCTCGCCAAAACTTGCAACTCTGCCATTTGTTAGCACAATTTACCTATTTGGGAACAATTTGTATGGAGACCTTAAATTTCCCGAAAGGTTTTATGGGAAAATGAGGAGGCGATTTGGAGCCTGGGACAACCCAAATCTGTGTTACCCCATTGGAACGGTAGCAGCAAACAATGCTCCTTATGGAGTGAACCCATGTAAGCAAGAAGAAGAAGAAGAAGAAGAAGTGAAATTGATGAAACTGAAACCCAACTCGAAGGCAAGTTTGGAGGAGGCGAATTTGGTTGCCTCAGATGGTAATTCCAGGTTTGAAATTGAAGGGTTTTGGTGGGAATTGATGGGGAGGACATTAACATTAACATTAACATTAACAATGGTTTTAGTAATTAATGGGTTGTTATAAAAGAAACAGAGTTACACTCTACACTCTACAGAGGTTTCTTCTAACAAGTCTTTAGTCTGAGGGGTGGAATCATTTCCATTTGGTCTGCAGCTGACGTCCTAACAAAAAGAGTTTAAATGGTTTGTGCAAGTGTAATGGATTTACTTATTAGTTATTTCAACGACTCAGTTGGGTTGTCTTCTGTGTAAATACTAGCTTTCTACTGCCAAGTATCTCCTCTCTCTCTCTCCCTAGCTCTTCAATAAAGTTTAATTTGTACTCAAAATCTTAGGCATACATTAGGGAACTCGAATCTATGACATCGCACAGGTTTGAATATATCAGATATGATATCCTAATTTGAATTTAGTAAGATAAATATTTCAATGGGTGGTTCATTGGTTCAAAATGGTTATGATAATTGAGAGAAAATATGTTCTAATTCCATGATGGTCACCGTCACTTAGACCTTAGGAATTAGTAATTCATATATGTCTTTCGATACTAAATGTTGTCCGTGAGACTGGTCGTGAAATAATTGAATAATGTTTTATAAATTATAACTTTTAGCCCGGGATAGCACAGGGGGATTGAGAGAAAAAAGAAAGGAGAGGGGGTTGAAGGACAATAATGTCAGAAAGTGAGAGGGTGTCAGAGGAGAGCAGGGCGCAGTGGAACCAATCCCAAGGCCGAGGCCGGTAACGCCCTTTTACCACCAAAGCACCCACTTTCCCATTCTGCAAACGCAATCTTTAATGACCCTTTTTTTTTTTCTCTCTTTTTAAAATTTTTGTAGTCCATAGAGTTTTCAATTCGATTTCATCTCAACTTATTAGATTTTGGAAATATAGTATTTTGGTGTTAAATCTTGGTTAGCTAGTAAAAAGATGACGCGACATATTTTACAATAAAATAGTTGATGTGATGAACTTATAAATTTATTTTTTTTGAAGGGTATAACTTATAAAATTAATATTACTTTCATTCTTGTCATTGCTACTTCTCTGCATGCGAACTCGAAACGATTAGAAATTGGTCGTTCTTGGTATGAACACATAGAGAAGGAAAATTTTTGAAATTTGAAAAAATCGCTAGTAAAACAAAAGATGAAGATGGATTAAAAGAGAGAGGGCGGTAGGTGGGGGCAGCATAGGGGTAGAGGGCTGGCAAAGAAGTAGCGGCATGCTTTGCACATAAAAGGAAAGGGAGGAGTGGGGAGGGAAAGGAAAGGTTTTATTTTTATTTTTTTTCTCTCCTCTTTAATATGTCATATAACTTTTCCATTAGGTTGGCTAACAAAAAAATAGAACGCTAAGATTAAATTGAAGTTTTTTTTAGTACCAAAAATTAAGAGCAGGGATGTTTCAACCTTCGAGGATCACTAAACTAGGTTCATTTTGGCAAATGAAAGTATTTTATAAACATTAGAAATAAAAGTGTGTGTGATTTTGAAACCTATAAATGAAACGACTTTGTTGTTTAAATTTTAGGGATAAAAAAAGGTAATTTCTTCCTTTTTTTTCCCTAAAGTTCAACAACATGTGGAATTGGAGATTTGAACCATATATACTTTACGAAGTTTGATACTTGACGAAGTTTGTGGCTTGATCTTCTCTTCGACTCGCTTGACGAAAATCTGTAGCTTGATGAAGTACTTTCGCTCGTGAGATCTTCGACTTGTGAAGTCTTCAACTTGTAACTTGTGAGGTTCTTCAGCTTTGTAGTAACTTTTGAAGTTTTTTGGCTTTGCAGCTTATTGAAGAATAAGTCTTCGGCTTTGTAGTTTGTTGAAGTTATTCGACTTGTAGCTTGTGGATGAGAATGCTCTAGTGGCTCTGAATCTCTAATGTTTATGGATCTCTCCGAATGTCTCAAATGAGAGGTAACCCACCCTATTTATAGAGTCTTGATGGGTCTTATACGAGACATGGACTTAATGGGCCATAGGCTTGGACCAAATCTCTTCATGGATTTGATCGAATTAATTGATTTCATGGAACCACAATAGACACGTGACATAATTTGATTTATCGATTTTAAAATTAATTTAGAAAACGTGTAAATTTATCATTAATCCTAAATATAATTTTAATTTTGTGAGGTTACAATTCAAGTTTTATCCCATTTTTTTAATTAATATATTTGTGCGAAAGAAAACGTTTTTAAAAGGTCCCGCAAAAAGACATTATATTTCCCAACAAAGTCCCAATATTAAAACTAGGTCGGAAAGCCTTTTTCATTTGGGCTGGATTTAACTTAAAAGTGGGCCGAGGCTCGAAATGCCCATTTTAAACCCATAACGACATGACAAGAAAAAGGAACCGTATTTTTAATTATTTTTCCATATATATCCCTTCAAAAACTACGTATCAAAATAATCTTAAGAATTACATTATCTTTACAATAATACATCATCACTCAAATTTTGACCACATTTTAATTTTTGAAAAAATAAAAGAATTTTTACCAAAAATATAATATTGGTCCATCAAGATTCCTACTAACGAATCAATTAGTTAGAATATTATTTCTAGTAAGCCATTAACATGATGTTTTTAGGAATAATTACATTGTAAATAAAACTAGGATTTAAATCTATGCCCCATATTTGTTGATATTGATATTAGAAAGTTTAATGTTTAACTACATGAATTATGCAAATTTCACTCATATTAACCTGTGAATAACTGCTCAAGATAAGATATATACTAAAAATTGTAAAAAAGAAAGTTACAAATAATAAAACAATAACTAAACATTATATCGGCGAAAGAGAAATATTTAAAAACAAATTAACCAAAGCAATAGCCACTAAAATGGGAAGAGTCCATTCAAAGAGAGACTTGGAATTTCAAATACAGAAACCGAGTGAAGACTGAACACATCGACCACAAATGAAAGTTATTTCGAGTCAACCTTAAACATTTTATATGTTCAACTTATATTTAGATATATAATTTCAATGAAATTCTTAACATTGCATGTCGTTGCAGTAAAAAAAAAAAAGAAAAAAAAAAAGACATTTCATGTGTTCCCATATCATTGGTGAGGTTTTTGACCTTTCCGGCGCATCTTAATATATTTTTATTTATTATTTTTTTTTATAGGAAACATCTTAATATATTTTTAGAAAATTTGCAACAACTACACTTATACACATTTCACCTTCCAAAATACGATTAAACTCTTAAATATTACAAAATGTTTAAATGATGCTATTTAAACTATAAAAAGTATTGTTATAATCAAACTCTTAGAATTATTAAAATCGCTAGAATTTAACCCAGTTGCTTTATTTAAATCTTTTTTTTTTTTGTTTTTTAAATCAAGATGTTAACTTGACACGAATTTGAAAGCCAACTTTTTTTCCTTCAAGTTAATATTATAGTTCTCAAATTTTATAGAAATGAAATTAAAAACTCTAATTATAGTCTTACAGGGTAGTTCAAGAATTTGATTGTAACAAAACTTAGAGTTTAAGAGTACTAGTTTGTAGGTTGTACCTTTTGCAATAACTAAAGATTTAATTTCAACAATTTCACAAGTTCCTTGTGATCGAGTTGAATTTCTATCATCTATCAATGGTCTTTTTACAAATTGTCCTATATATATTGTTGCAACGTCATCGCGACGTGGAGCCTAAAAATGAAGACAAGGTCTGCAAAAACAGATTGTTGGTTCGGGAGTCAGAAAAATTTTATCACCGAGACTTGAACTTGTGCCATAAGAGTCAACATACAAGAGAAAGAGAGAAAAAGAGGGAGGAGAAGAAGGGGAGGGAACGTATGAAGGAAAAAATCAAACGAGAGAAAAACAGTTTTTTAAATCTTAAAATCAATTAAATAAAATCCTAATAAAACCAATTATTTTCCAACAAAATCTAATTTTAAAACTTAATTTGATTTAATTAAAACTTTACATTAAATCTTATAATAAAGTAAATTATGTTATTTTAAATTAAATCAATAAATATAATAAAATAATAAATAAGTAAATAATAATTTTTTTAACGAAAACGAATTGGACCAAATACGGTGTTATATATATATATATATATATATATATATATATATATTTATTTATTTACTGAAGTTTAAATAATTTTCAGGTCACAATCAGGAGTTACATTACAAAGAAAATGAAAATCAAAGTAAAATATTTTAAATTGAGTTCGGAATTGATGTCACGAAAATATTTGACGTCATTTTCTTTATATTTAATTTTGGAATTCAAACTGCGATAATTGATAAGAAATTGAATAGAATTTTCTTAATTAGAAAGCTACATAATGAAATTTTAATAAGAAAAAGGTCAATTGAAATCAAAATATCAGTTTGAAATGTTCCGGAAAAGACACCGCAAAGACTTGGAAAATTGTTTTATTTTTTTCCTCGAGCATTGACTTCAGACTTAGAAGGTAAAAATTAAACTAATTTTGAACAACTATGCCTTTTTTAACTATAAAATTGACTGATTTGTCCATGTCAAAGTTTAGAACTCGACTTTATTTACAAAATATATTGAAATGTTATTATAATTATTTTGTTACTTAGATGAGATCATCACAGTTTAAAATTCAATTGAGAAGGCCAATTTTATTTTATAATATATTATAATCCGCTGATTTGGTTTAGGTAAACTGGATAAGGTGGAACCTGATTAAGATATTATAAGTGGAATAGTTTGAACGTCGGAATGACTTGCACAAGAGGGACAAATATTCCAATGCTCAGGTTAGTATAAACTCGGACTTATTAGAGAGTTCAAGATAGTATTCAATACCTGATGTTGTAGTGAGACCTTCTATTTATAAGTTGAGAGTCGGACAGGCTATCCGATAAGTAGTTATGCATGTTGGTCCGAAGGTTGGATATGTCAGGTGCCTTGGGTTGGATCCGATCGGAGGTCCAATGCCTTCTTCCTACGTTTGCGACTAAGTATGGCTTCTTCATATAAAAATTACTGGGAAGATTGAACGATTGAACAAAAAATAATGGAGTGGACTGGAAATTTATAGAAGTATGGTTATTTTGGTCTCTATAAATTTACTAGACGTCATCCACCAATAAAATTACATTCTCAATCTGAACATATAGTTCAAAAATATATATTCCAGATCAAAATATTAGAGGTTTAAATCTCCACCCGTACATATTGAACTCAAAATAGGGTAATAATAATTTTTTCTTAAAAATGAGATTTATAGCCTTTGATAATTAGAAATTTGGAC